TCTAATATTTTAAATATATCTGATTTTTAACTCTGACTTTTTGAGTCTAGTCCAATATATTCATGATCTCTTTACATGAAGTATTTTTATCGATCCATATTTCTTACCCAATTTTTTTATCCAATTTTTTAAAATAAAAACGATTACTTTTCGATTTCATGGTGAGCCGATTCATTGATAATCCCCGACTTGCTAACTATGGTACTTACTCTCAATCATTGTTGGAAAAACTAGGCGATCTAACCGCTAACCGCCCAGTTAAGTCGAAAGCTGCCACTGGTCGGTTCCGATTTTTAGCGGTTTTGGTGATGGACAGGTATTTAAAAAAATAAAATTTTAAAAAAATGTATATAATTTCTCAAAAATAAAGAATTTGGTTGGTAAGGCATTTGTTGATATGCTTTACATTACGGTAAAGATTAAAAATTGTTTTCGACATTGATACTCACTTTTATATTTTCCCATCTTTTTTCATAAAATTTTAAAAATACCCCAAGGCACAAATCGATTCTTTAAAATTCATTTTTTTCATTAATTTTCAACTTCATTTGAATGTGTTTTATTTTAATCATTTGTTATATGTTTTTCCTATTTTAGTATATATTTTTTATGTCTTTTTTATTTCTTTTCAACATTTTTTTTACCGCCCGGGACTTGTCCAGTTAGAACGGTTGAATTGACCAGTTAAACCACTTCTGGGCCCATGTCCGGTTAACCATTCCGGTTCGATTTAGCAAACAATGCTCTCAGTAAAAATCGGATTAAGTGAACCGGTCGCCCACCAGTTCCCAGGCACCTATTGTGCGCGGAAGCTCTAAACCTGTTTACGATGAAAATCTAACAGATCTTCCGATGAAGATCTCTCAAATTTTATCACCTTAAACTAATTAAAAAAATGTAAATAAAGTGGTAGAGAAAGTGGGACAAATCGAATTTAGATCTGACGCCAGATTTTTCCAAAAATGAGTAGATCTACTATCAGATATGTGGCAGATCCAACATGATCTAGAGCATTAAAATACGAATTTTAAGACAAGTTAACAAATAATAGATAAATAAAAGAAACAAAACAGTAAAAAGAAGAAGAAAGAGAGAGGAATAAATAATACCAAATCGGGTTAGATGGCCCAGGATTTCTGAGCCTTCGAGGGCTCGCCCGTATCAGAATCGGTCCTCTTTACCTCTCTGATTCAAATGTTGACCAGCAGATCTCTGGTGTAAAGGGTTAGATCTAGGGTTGTTGTGCCCTAATTCTAGTTTTGATTATTTTTATGCCGTAGGCCTAGGTTTTCTTAGTCTTGGGGGTTACGACTTCAGGAGGCTAGGATTTTTATATTCTCTAGGGTTTTTAATCTAGAGATTTTCTAAAGCTATCGGCCTTTTTTAAGATTTGGAGGATAATTTCTTTGGTTTTCTAAGGGTTTTGTGATCTCCATAGGTTGAATATGATTTCTAAGATTTTCTCTAATTTTTTTGAGATTCTTTGGGGATTTTTCTTAAATTATTAGGAATTTTCTAAAGTTTTTTCCTATTTTTGATATTTTTTTGGTAATTTTTCTAATTTCAAGAATTAGAAAGGCTTTTTGGTCTCTTTTTCTCTCTCCTTTTGGCTTAAGGAGAGGGATATTTATAAGATTCAATTGGTGATTTTTTCCAGTTTTTTTCTGAATTTTTTGGATTTATCTTAAAATTTTAGCCTTATCTAATTAAAGAAAACGCATTTACTGCATCATCAAATGTATTGACTACATCATCAGCCCACGTCTGGGCCTATCGGGCCCATTACATCCTGGCCCGCTATCCCACAGTTGGGTCTCACAAGGATTACATTGTCATTTGTTATATCTTTTTATCTATAGGTCCGATTCAGGCAATTCGTGAACCGTTAGAAAGCTCTTGGGCTCTACTTCAAATTGGGATAGGATTTGGGTGGTTTTGGAGTAATTAAATTTGGTCTACTAATATAATATGGTCCTAAGGGTTCAAAAAACCATAGAATTTGCCAGATTTAAAATTGAGTGTCTACAGTTGCCCCTCTTTGGCACTCCCAATCCTTCAAGGGACAGGTAAGTGGCAAAGAAGTAGACACTTTGGCATTCTCTGTCCTTTGAGGGGTAGGAGAATGTCAAAGATAAAGCAGACATTTTAAATTTTTTTCTGAGGTCACGT